AGGATTTTTAGACAAACTTCCACATTAGATGATGAGGATTGCTGAGACAAACCTCCACATTAGATGATGAGGATTGCTTAGACAAGTCTTCACATTAGATGATGATTTTTTTCCTAGACAAACCTCCTCATTAGATGATGAAGATTTCGTAGACAAACCTCCACATTAGATAATGAGGACTTCTTAGACAAATCTCCACATTAGATGATGAGGATTTCGTAGACAAACTTCCACATCAGATGATGAGGATTTCTTAGACAAACCTCCACATTGGATGATGAGGATTTCTTAGACAAACCTTCACATTGGATGATGAGGATTTTTTAGACAAACCTTCACATTGGATGATGAGGATTTCTTAGACAAACCTCCACATTAGATGATGAGGATTTCTTAGACAAACCTTCACATTTGATGATGAGGATTTCTTAGACAGACCTTCACATTAGATGTTGAGGATTTTTTAGACAAACCTTCACATTAGATGATGAGGATTTCTTAGACAAACCTTCACATTTGATGATGAGGATTTCTTAGACAAACCTCCACATTGGATGATGAGGATTTCTTAGACAAGTCTTCACATTAGATAATGTGGATTTCTTTGACAAACCTCCACATTGGATGATGAGGATTTCTTAGACAAACCTCCACATTAGATGATGAGGATTTCTTAGACAAACCTCCACATTGGATCAGGAGAATTTTTTTTTTGTTTCTTTTTACGATACAGAAATCAGGAATTAAAAATCCTTGTTTAAGAGGAAGGGTATTTTATTACCGGAATTCATTAAGTTGGTTAACTCAGCTGACTGTCAACCATACGGTTAAACATACAACTCGGCTGACTGTCAACCTAACGATTAAACATACCACTAAGCTGACTGTCAAACATACGGTTAAACCTAAACCAGAAATTGGACGTGGAGTCACTATCGACCAGAGCGACCGTACACTAGTACGAGGAGTCACTATAGACCAAACTGGCCATACACTAGTACGCGGAGTCACTATATACCAGACCGGCCGTACACTGGTACGCAGAGTCACTATTGACCAGAACTGCCGTACAGTAGTACGCAGAGTCACTATAGACTAGATCGGCCATACACTGGTACGCGGAGTCACTATAGACCAGACCGGCCGTACACTGGTACGCGGAGTCACTATAGTCCAGATCGGCCGTACACTGCTACGTGGAGTCACTATAGTCCAGATCGGCCGTACACTGGTACACGGAGTCACTATATACCAGACCGGCCGTACACTGCTACGTGGAGTCACTATAGTCCAGATCGGCAGTATACTGGTACGAGGAGTCACTATAGACCAGACTTGCCGTACACTGGTACGCGGAGTCACTATTGACCAGAACTGCCGTACACTAGTACGCAGAGTCACTATAGACTAGATCGGCGGTACACTGGTACGCGGAGTAACTATAGTTCAGATCGGCGTACACTGCTACGTGGAGTCACTATAGTCCAGATCGGCCGTACACTGTACGTGGGGTCACTATATACCAGACCGGCCGTACACTGGTACACGGAGTCACTTTAAGCCAGACTGGCCATACACTGGTACGCAGAGTCACTATAGACCAGACCGGTCGTACACTAGTACGCAGAGTCACTTTAGGCCAGAACTGCCGTACACTAGTACGCAGAGTCACTTTAGGCCAGACTGGCCGTATACTGCTACGTGGAGTCACTATATACCAGACCGGCCGTACACTGGTACACGGAGTCACTATATACCAGACCGGCCGTACACTGGTACGTTGGGTCACTATAGACCAGATCTAGAGCGGCCGTACACTGCTACGTGGAGTCACTATAGACCAGAGCGGCCGTACACTGGTACGTTGAGTCACTATAGACCAGAGCGGCCGTACACAGGTACGAGGAGTCACTATAGACCATAGCGGCCGTACACTGGTACGAGGAGTCACTATAGACCAGACCGGCCGTACACTGGTACGTGGAGTCACTATACACCAGATCTAGAGCGGCCGTACACTGCTACGTGGAGTCACTATAGACCAGAGCGGCCGTACACTGCTACGTTGAGTCACTATAGACCAGAGCGGCCGTACACAGGTACGAGGAGTCACTATAGACCAGAGCGGCCGTACACTGGTACGTGGGGTTACTATAGACCAGAGCGGCCGTACACTGGTACGAGGAGTCACTATAGACCAGACCGGCCGTACACTGCTACGTGGGGTCACTAGAGACCAGATCTAGAGCGGCCGTACACTGGTACGTGGAGTCACTATAGACCAGAGCGGCCGTACACTGGTACGTGGGGTCACTATAGACCAGACCGGCCGTACACTGGTACGAGGAGTCACTATAGACCAAACTGGCCATACACTGGTACGTGGAGGCACTATACACCAGATCTAGAGCGGCCGTACACTGCTACGTAGAGTCACTATAGACCAGAGCGGCCGTACACTGCTACGTAGAGTCACTATATACCAGAGCGGCCGTACACTGGTACGTGGGGTCACTACAGACCAGACCGGCCGTACACTGGTACGAGGAGTCACTATAGACCAAACGGGCCATACACTGGTACGTGGAGTCACTATACCCCAGATCTAGAGCGGCCGTACACTGCTACGTAGAGTCACTATAGACCAGAGCGGCCGTACACTGGTACGTGGGGTCACTATATACCAGATCTAGAGCGGCCGTACACTGCTACGTAGAGTCACTATAGACCAGAGAGGGCGTACACCGGAACGTGGGGTCACTATATACCAGATCTAGAGCGGCCGTACACTGCTGCGTAGAGTCACTATAGACCAGAGCGGCCGTACCCTGGTACGTGGAGGCACTATAGACCAGATCTAGAGCGGCCGTACACTGCTACGCAGAGTCACTATAGACCAGAGCGGCCGTACACTGGTACGTGGAGTCACTATAGACCAGACTGGCAGTATACTGGTACGCGGAGACAGTATAGACCAGACCGGCCGTACGCTGGTACGCGGGGACTACAGACATATAATGTATGTGTACTCTCTGAAATTATCATAAAAAAAACATTAACGTTGTGTTAGGATGCAGCTTTTAAACAACCAAGTACAGGTTTTCTAATACGTACTGGTTGTTTGTTTTTTTCTTTTTATGAACTCTCTCTGTCTAAAGAAAACATTAATAATCAGTTCTGATCGAGATACACACAATTACAAGGTCATGATTGTTTTTCGTAAAGCAAACGTTTCTTTCTGGTCGTTGGAATGTCAGAAGTAAGAAATGAATGAGGTACAAATGTAAAATCTCTCAGATGTGTTTGTTTTCCGAGATTTACCGATTAACGTCTACAGATATGTATCCCGAGAGATAAGATAAGTCATACTACGTTAAACAGCGTTGGTATAGCGCGTATAGACTTATTTCAAAGCCAGTTTCTTCCTTTCTGTTTACTAGTGAACATGTTTTTAAGAGTTGATACGGAAATGGAGGACAGACAAACGATATTTCCTAATACGAACGTTTTACATTGACTACTAATTGATATAATGTACCACACTGTACGGTATCGGACCAGTGATACCAATTTACGAAGCGGACAAAAGCGATTAATTTGACTCGGGGCGTCAAAATTCGAGCTGAAAACTAACCAGAGTTTGATTTATGCGTTATTGATTAAAAATCATAATGAAATATAATGAATTACATGTACCACGTTAATCTGTATTGGTTTCATTAAAACAAAAAGTGGATGTGAGCAATGGTTGAATCAAAATCAAATGGAGGCTATTTTATATTTTGACTCGGTATTATTAGTAATATCAATACGATGCTTTCTGCCATTAGCAATCAAATTGAGTTTAATTGGCGACATGAAGAAGGACTCTTTAAGAGAAATGATGATTTTAATTATTTTTTTGTACTTTTTCTTAAAAAGTCACTCTGCTATGGAATGGTGGCGTCAGGAACATTCAAATTGAGGCCGACTTATATTAACCTTTCGGCGTCACGATAGTGTTCGCGACGTCTCCAGTAATCAATTTCATGAGTGTTGACGTACATGCTTGTCAGGGTCATTCATGTCATTTTCTCCCACCCTTCACAGATGAGTCTCCCGTTTTACCCGGGAAAGATTAATAGAATCTTCCCCTAACTTGAGGGTGTGACAGAGAAATCTCCAACACGAGGGGTGATGTTTTTTGGTTGTCTAACCCGAGGGTTAGACAACCAAATAAATCCCCCCGAGGGTTGAAGACTTCTCTATTACACCCTAAAGGTAGGGGATGATTATTTTTCTCCCATCCCATTATTTTAGTCACAGCTCCACCGACAGTAGTCTGCCAGGTTTGTAAACAAAAACTCATGTGGGGTATGCATATCGTCATTCACTTTTGATGACGTCACAATTACCGATGACGCATTTTAATGACGTCACAATTGAAAGGTAAGGGGAGGTTAGTGGCGGTAATCCCCCTAGGGGGTTGCAAGCTGATATTTCCCGGCTAAAACGGGAGACACATCTATGAAGGATGGTAGAATAGCTTGTCACTCCCTAGGGGGAGATAGCCTCGTGCCGACTAGCACGTGTTCAATTGTGATGTCATTAAAATGCGTCACCGGTAATTTTGACGTCATCAAAAATGAATGACGATATTCATACCCTCGGAGTTATTTTTTGGTTGTCAAACCCTCGGCAGAGCCTCGGGTAAGACAACCAAAAACATCACCCCTCGTGTTGGAGATATCTCTGTCACACCCTCAAGGTAGGGTAAGATTCTATTGATTAATCGTTATCCATACAAATGAGTAATTTGCCGACCTTATATCGTGGTTGCACCGTCTCAAATTATTTCGTTTGACCAATCAAATTCCTTACTACATCTCAAATGAATTAGAAAACAAGTGTACTACATGTTCACCTTGTAAAACATTGAAAATATTAGCTTCAAAATCTAAAGCAAGGCTCTTTATAATGTCGTCATAGATATAACCTCAATCTTTATGACTAATAGATACCAGTTCTTCACTGAACGCCTCGTAGAACTCCACTATATCGGCAGCTGTTCCAACGTAGACCAATAAGAGTTGAGATAACTGGTCATGTGACAGGGAACCCTTAGGAAGCAGCCATCTCCCCACTATCAGCATCAGGAGCAGGAACTGTTCGAGGATGCGCAGCCATAGATTGGCCGGTATGGCAAGTGGAATGGTAATCTGTAACTACAAACAGAAAGACCGACATCAACAATAGCTGCGTCATAAGTAATTTGAAGCCAGCAACAAACATATCAGTCACTGTACACTATTTACAAATCTACAATTCATGTCAGTTTCGTTCCGTTTGTATAGCGTACTCGGGAATTCTTTATTCATAATAATATGTGTACCGAAAATATTGGTTTTGCAGGTTACAATGGAAATGAAGTTTATCAATGCAGTGAGTATTGAGCACTGAATGACAGGGTAACGTACTTACCAGTAACACGTGCTAGTGGTTCACAGAGTACGCGTTTATCTTTTGATGGACGGCAAATAAATCTAATCGAAGTTCAATTGTACTCTACAAACGTTAAGATCAAACCATTACGATACAAAGATATACACAAGTTGAGTTAGGTTTCTTTGCATTGAAGCGTGTACGTAGCGCGCGTTGCCGTTAACGTCTGCGCATGTTCTTTACTTAATTGTCTTTAATGCAAAAACAAACAAAACATATTCGTGTTTCCACATTCCCTACATCCGCTATATTATAGTACATGCCCTAATGTGTTTTTGCTTGAGCTTAAACTAATGACTCTATTAAGCCTTTGTTTAAGTATTTTACGAAATGAAAAAATCTGTACTTATTTTGTAGAACCGAAGTCGGCCCACAATAATCGTGCTGTTTGTTGTGTTATGAGAGCTAAGATGTATGGGGATTTAGCGGCGTGAGATAAGTGGAGGTAAGGGAGGTTAGTGGCGGTAAATGGAGGTAAGGGGAGGTTAGTGGCAGTAAATGGAGGTAAGGGGAGGTTAGTGGCGGTAAATGGAGGTAAGGGAAGGTAAGTGGCGGTAAATGGAAGTAAGGGGAGGTAAGTGGCGGTAAATGGAGGTAAGGGGAGGTTAGTGGCGGTAAATGGAGGTAAGGGGAGGTTAGTGGCGGTAAATGGAGGTAAGTAGCGGTAAATGGAGGTAAAGGGAGGTTAGTGGCGGTAAATGGAGGTAAGGGGAGGTTAGTGGCGGTAAATGGAGGTACGAGGAGGTAATTAGAGGTACTAGGAGGAAAGGAGAGGTGATTAGTGGTAAGGGCCTCGAAGGTAAGTGGCAGTAAGGGGAGGTAAGTGGTGGTAAATGGAGGTTATGGGAGGTTAGTGGCGATAAATGGAGGTAAGGGTAGTTTAGTGGCGGTAAATGGAGGTAAGGGGAGGTTAGTGGTGGTAAATGGAGGTAAGGGGAGGTTAGTGGCGGTAAATGGAGGTAAGTGGAGGTAATTAGAGGTAATGTGGGGTAAGGAGAGGTGATTAGAGGTAAGGGCCTGGAAGGTAAGTGGAAGTAAGGGGAGGTTAGTGGCGGTAAGTGGAGGTAAGGGGAGGTAATTAGAGGTAAGGGGAGGTGATTAGAGGTAAGGGTATGGAAGGTAAGTGTAAGTAAGGGGAGGTACATGTAAGTGAAGGTAAAGGGAAGTAAGGTGATGTAAGTGGGGTAAGTGGAGATAAAGGGAAGTAAGTTGAGATAAGGTTAGGTAAGGGGAAGTAATGGGAGTATGGGGAGATAAGTGAGGGCAAGGGGAGGTAAGGGAAGGTCAGGGGATAAAGTTGATATAAGGGAAGGTAAAGAGAGGTAAGTGGAGGTAAGGGGCGTAAAGCGGGGCAGAGGGAGGTAAGTGGGACAAGGGGAGGTAAGGGAAGTTAGGGAGATAAGGGGAGATAAGGGGAGGTAAAGAGAGGTAAGTGGGGGTAAGGGGAGGTAAGTGGGGATAATGGGAGATAAAGGGAAGTAAGGGGAGGCAAGGAAAAGTAATGGGGTTATCGTGAGTGAGTGGGGGTAAGGAGAGGTAAGGGAAGGTAAGGCGAGATAAGGGGAGATAGGGGGAGGTAAAGAGAGGTAATATGGGGTAAGGGGAGGTAAGTGGGGGTAAGGGGAGGTAAGGGAAGGTTAGGGGAGATAAGATGAGATAAGGGGAAATAAGGTAAGATAAGGGGAGATAAGGTGAGATAAGGGAAGGTAAGGGGAAGTAATTAGGGGTAAGGGGAGGTTAGGGAAGGTAAGGGGAGGTTAGGTTAGATAAGGGGAGGTAAGGGGAGATACGTGAGAGCAAAGGGAGGTTACGGAAGGTAAGGGGAAATACCAAGTGGTAAACGGACGTAAGAGGAGGTACGTGGAGGTAGGTTAAGATAAGGGGAGTTAAATGGGGGTAAGTGGAGGTAAGTGAGGTAAAGGCAGGTAAGAGGAGGTAAAGGGGGGTAAGGGGAGGTGAGTTGAGGTTAGAAGAGGAAAGGGGAGGTAATTTGCGGTTAGGGGAGGTATGTGGAGTTAATGGGAGGAAAGTGGAGGTTAGTTGAGGTTAGTAGCGGTATGGAAAGATAGGTGGAGTAAGGGGAGATAAGTGGAGGTAAGTGGAGATAAGAGGAGGTAGGGGAGGTAAGTTACTGTAATGGAGGTAGGCAGATGTAAGCCCCTGTCCGGAACATTGATAGATTTCAATTATACAGAATATATTGTAATGTACAAGCGATCAGTTATTAGTGTTAGGTGTTGTTCTATTTCTGCCGTATTTAACATCGCCATTTATGATCAGTTTACTCTTGCTAAACTATAGATATCCCCACATAACGTGACCAACGTAGAGATCCGTTTGTTTACTCAACCCTACCACTGACCATTGTTCTGTCCTGTGTAGCTATACATATTTGGGTCGGAATGGACCCCACCAGTTGCGCGGATTATTTTTATATACATGTACGAGTATGGAATCGGAAACGAAAGACATGTGTTATTTTCGGTTTCCGAGTGTAAGTAGGCGTGAAATGGAAAGACATTCGGAAGATATATTGTGTTACTCTGTCTATCACGTGCTAAATAACGCACGTGTTTTCGTCGTTAGCAACTTTTGTGGACGGATATATGGACTACGCGAGATGATATATTACCAGGAGGGGAGAGGAAGAGGAGATTTAATTTACAGTCAGCTATTTGCGAAAAAGTAAACGAATTCATGCATCGGTCAGAAGTCTAACTTCTACCAACGAAACAATCCCAGAAAGACAGGTCTGTGCTTACTGTTTTGAAGGCGTAGATAGAGGTCTTCTAACGAGTTTTCGTTACCCCGGGTGTTTATATACCGAAATATAGCCATGTAATTGAAATGGGTGTGGGATTTTGATTAGCGTTAATAGGTATTCTTTGTTTTATTATCATATACCTCAATGTATATATTCATATACTCAAAGTCAATTGATGTGAATGTTTAGACAGGAAAAAAAATCGTTTCTCATGACATCACAGTATGCAATACAACATAATTATATTACATTACGATCACGTTTAAACACTCTAAAACAGCCTGTGAATGCGATAAATTGTTTTCTTTCTTTATATACTGCTAATATGGCAATTACTACTAACCTGTCATTAATGCTGACATAGCAATTACCGCTAACCTGTCATTACTGCTTACCAGGCAATAACCGCTTACCTGTCATTACTGCTAACATGTCATTACTGCTATCGTTGCAATTACCGCTAACCTGTCATTACTGCTTACCAGGCAATTACCGCTTACCTGTCATTACTGCTAACATGTCATTACTGCTATCGTTGCAATTACCGATTACCTGGTATTACTGTTTTTCTGTCATCACTATTAACCTGTCAGTACTGCCTACCTGTCATTACTGCTAACCTGTAATTACTGCTTACCTGTCATAACCATTAACCTCGCATCCAGTAATCCTGTCAATACCTCTCATTACTGTTATCATCTTATGACTGCTATTCTTTCATTACTGTAATTCTGTCAATACTGTTAACCTGTCAATACTATAATCCTGTCATTACTGTTAACATCTTATTACTGCTGTCCTGTCATTACTGTAATCCTGTCATAACTGTTATCATCTTATGACTGCTATCCTGTCACTACCTCTATCCTGTCACTACTGTTATCATCTTATGACTGCTATCCTGTCATTACCTCTATCCTGTCACTACTGTTATCATTTTATGACTGCTATCCTGTCACTACTGTTAACATCTTATGACTGCTATCCTGTCATTATCGTTATCCTGTCACTATTGTTATCATCTTATGACTGCTATTCTGCTATTATTGTTTTCATCTCATTACTGCTATCCTGTCATTACCTTTATCCTTTCACTTCTGTTATCATCTTATGACTGCTATTCTGTCATTACAATTATCATATTATGACTGCTATCCTGTCATTATCGTTATCCTGTCACTATTGTTATCATCTTATGACTGCTATTCTGCTATTATTGTTATCATATCATTACTGCTATCCTGTCATTACCTCTATCCTTTCACTTCTGTTATCATCTTATGACTGCTATCCTGTCATTACTGTTATCATGTTATGACTGCTATCCTGTCACTACTGTTAACATCTTATGACTACTATTCTGTTATTACTGTTATCATCTCATTACTGCTATCCTGTCATTACCTCTATCCTTTCACTACTGTTAACATCTTATGACTGCTATCCTGTCATTACTGTAATCATGTTATGACTGCTATTCTGTTATTACTGTTATCATCTCATTACTGCTATCCTGTCATTACCTCTATCCTTTCACTACTGTTATCATCTTATGACTGCTGTCCTGTCATTACTGTTATCACCTTATGACTGCTATTCTGTTATTACTGTTATCATCTCATTACTGCTATCCTGTCATTACTGTTATCACCTTATGACTGCTATTCTGTTATTACTGTTATCATCTCATTACTGCTATCCTGTCATTACTGTTAACATCTTATGACTACTATTCTGTTATTACTGTTATCATCTAATTACTGCTATCCTGTCATTACCTCTATCCTTTCACTACTGTAATCATCTTATGACTGCTGTCCTGTCATTACTGTAATCATCTTATGACTGCTATTCTGTTATTACTGTTATCATCTCATTACTGCTATCCTGTCATTACTGTTAACATCTTATGACTACTATTCTGTTATTACTGTTATCATCTAATTACTGCTATCCTGTCATTACCTCTATCCTTTCACTACTGTAATCATCTTATGACTGCTATCCTGTCATTACTGTAATCATGTTATGACTGCTTTTCTGTTATTACTGTTATCATCTAAGTACTGTGATCCTGTCATTACCTCTATCCTTTCACTGCTGTAATCATCTTATGACTGCTGTCCTGGCACTACTGTTATCACCTTATGACTGCTATTCTGTTATTACTGTTATCATCTCATTACTGCTATCCTGTCATTACTGTTATCATATTATGAGTGATGTCCTGTCACTACTGTTATCACCTTATGACTGCTATTCTATTATTACTGTAATCACCTTATGACTGCTATCCTGTCACTTCTGTTATCATCTTATGACTGCTATCCTGTCACTTTTGTTATCATCTTATGACTACTATCCTGTCATTACTGTTATCATCTTATGACTGCTATTCTGTTATTACTGTTATCATCGCATTACTGCTATCCTGTCACTACTGTTATCATCTTATGACTGCTATCCTGTCATAACTGTCAACCTCTTATGACTGCTGTCCTGTCACTACTGTTAACATCTTATGACTGCTATCCTGTCATTACTGTTATCATCTTATGACTGCTATTCTGTTATTACTGCTATCCTGTCATTACCTTTATCCTGTCACTATCGTTATCATCTCATTACTGTAATCCTGTCATTACTGTTATCATCTTATGACTGCTCTCCTGTCATTACCTTTATCCTGTCACTACTGTTATCATCTTATGACTGATGTCCTGTCGCTATTGTTATCATCTCATTACTGTAATCCTGTCATTACTGTTAACATCTTATTTCTGCTCTCCTGTCATTACCTCTATTCTGTTATAACTGTTATCATCTTATGACTGCTATTCTGTCATTACTGTTATCATCTTATTACTGCTATTCTGTCATTACTGTTATCATCTTATTACTGCTATTCTGTTATTACCGTCATCATCTTATTACTGCTATTTTGTCATAACTGTAATCATCTTATGACTGCTATCCTGTCATTACTGTTATCATCTTATTACTGCTTTTCTGTCATTACTGTTATCATCTTATTACTGCTATTCTGTTATTACTGTTATCATCTTATGACTGCTATTCTGTCATTACTGTTATCATCCTATTACTGCTGTCCTGTCACTACTGTTAACATATTATAACTGCTATTCTGTTATTACTGCTCTCCTGTCATTACCTTTACCCTGTCACTACTGTTATCATCTCATTACTGTAATCCTTTCATTACTGTTATCATCTTATTGCTGCCGTCCTGTCATTACTGTTATCATCTTATTACTGCTGACCTGTCATTACTGTTATCATCTTATTACTGCTGTCCTGTCATTACTGTAATCCTTTCATTACTGTTATCATCTTATTGCTGCTGTCCTGTCATAACTGTTATCCTTTCATTACTGTTATCATCTTATGACTGCCATCCTGTCATTACTGTAATCTTTTCATTACTGTTTTCATCGTATTACTGCTGTCCTGTCATTACTGTAATCCTGTCAATACTGTAATCCTTTCATGACTGTTATTATATTATGACTGCCATCCTGTCATTACTGTAATCCTTTGATTACTGTTTTCATCGTATTACTGCTGTCCTGTCATTACTGTAATCCTGTCATTACTGTTATTCTGTCAATACTGTTATCCTGTCATTACTGTTATCCTGTAATTACCTCTATCCTGTCATTACTGTTATTACTGTTATTCTGTCATTACTGTTATCCTGTTATTAACTCTATCCTGTCATTACTGTTATTACTGTTATCCTGTCATTACTGTTATCCTGTCATTACTGCTAATTTGACATTTCTGCAAACTCACACCATCGCTAATATGTCAATACACATTTAAAAAATGGCAATACTGCTTACCTATCTTACCTATGACGGAGTCGGCTTAAGAAACTGTGCATATCATATATTGATCTACGCCATGCTAGATATTCTTCGGCACATGCAGATGACTTTTCCATATCTCGTTTTAACAATGCACTGAATAAAGATGCACAACTGAATTTTAAGACTTCGCCTGGTTCTCCCAATACCGCAAACAACCATAACTTCACATTTTAGTGGGGTTTTATGTTCTCTGCGCATCATTCGTTCTTTGCTGCTGCACGACGCTAGAAAAATCGACCTTTGTATGACCTTCAATTGACCTACCCCTTCGATGTTGACGCTAAGGTCCTCTTTATTGGTGCGGTTTACCGGCACATGAAACACACTGCCAGTACTATTAGTCAAGTAACTGCTTTCTCGAAGAGCAATCCTATCCTCCATCTCGTGTAACTCGAGAAACCAGATCGCAGGAACTACACTCCCGAGGTAGAAGAATACACTGGGACAAAACCTGTAACAGCAAGAAACACAAAACAAGTAAATAGTGGAGCTATATATTGTAGTACAGCACACCTGATAACGTACTGTAACATACAAAACACGTAAATAGTGGAGCTATATATTGTAGTACAGTACACCTATTAACGTACTATAACATACAAAACACGTAAATAGTGGAGCTATATATTGTAGTACAGTACACCTGATAACGTACTATAACATACAAAACAAGTAAATAGTGGAGCTATATATTGTAGTACAGTACACCTGATAACGTACTATAACATACAAAGCACGTAAATAGTGGAGCTATTACAGTACACTTGATTTCAAATTTTAACATTACTGTAGATTTCACTAGGTATGTTATAAACAGTATTACAGTATTATAAAGTGTACGGAAAGATGAGGTATCACACATTATCGTAAAGACACATGATGACGAGCTAATTTCTTTGTCCATGCTTTGAAATCTCTTATCTTTCAATGATTTTTTGTTTCTGCATACACGTGTGATTAGGCAACATCCCGAAACGGATCGGGATGGTTCGTGTTTTGACCGTTTGATATCGCTAAGATGGACAGTGACATTGAGGCAGTGGATGGTAAGTAACCGCATATTTACGATATAAGTGTATCTGTATTAATTTAGGTGTGGCGCTCTTCATTAAACAAATTCTTATCATATTATACAAAAATATGTACATCAAGTTCTGCTCTTAGCTATACGAGCGTGTATGCAGTAGTATGTTAATGCGTCACAGACCAGAAATCAGTTAATAGCACACGCAACGTCGTAAAGGCGCACACCAGGCATCCTCTGCAATATGGAAAGTATTTCTATAACGAACTAAATATCACTTTATGAAATTATACGTCCATTATTGAACATTAAAATGGACCATTCTCGTTAGGTTATGTAAAATAATGCCCCAAAAAGCGCATTCCGATAATGTCTGATTAAATTGTACCAAATCGATCGGATCCTGGCGAAGTCCGGGCTCCTATCCTTTTATTAATGGGAGGTAGATTTATTTGTATATCAGCTCAATCATAGCTACTTAAATCGATAAAAAACTATAATAGCATAACCTAACCAATAAATATAACCAAACTCTCGTACACTCTGGGAGGTTTTTATGTTATCACATTTTGAGTTATCACAGGACCCCGGTATTTATCACAGGACCCCGGTATTTATCACAGGACCCCGGTATTTATCACAGGGGCCGCGGTATTTTTCACAGGACCCCGCTATTAACCACAGGGGCGGCGACGGCCAAGTGGTTAAGGGGTCTAACATTCTGCTACCACTAGCCCTCCACCACAGGGTCGTTGGTGGCCAGGTAGTTAAGGGGTCTAACATTCTGCTACCACTAGCCCTCCACCACTTGGCCGTGGCTTCGAGACCTACGTGGGTCAGTCGCTCTGTACCGACCGTAGGTCGGTGGTTTTTTCCGGTGACACAAACAAACAAATGAAATCACAGAGCTTTGGGATTATCCAACGTGTGTTACAGTCATTAAACCTCTAGAACGTCTGATACAGTCAGTAAACATCTAGAACGTCTGATAAATCAGTAAACATCTAGAACGTCTGTTACAGTCAGTAAACATCTAGAACGTCTGATACAGTCAGTAAACATCTAGAACGTATGATACAGTCAGTAAACATCTAGAACGTCTGATAAATCAGTAAACATCTAGAACTTCTATTCAACTTGTCTTTATCTACTTGTACATGTAGTCATCTTGATGTCAGGAGTGGTACAAAGGGCATGCCTCTTTTATGAAGGATGACAGACATCCTAGATCCTGGATTATAGATGTTTTTTGGGACATTTCTAAATACCTGCACAAAGGCCTATAATGAAGTTAAAATCATATAGTATTCCAGGTGAATTTTGCCCTGGGTAAAAATTAGTGACATATAAGTAACAGACAACCAAAAGTATTAATTAAGCCATTATAGTCTGACAATTGTATGTGAGGGACTGGAGTTCATCAATAATCATTCTTAGACCATTTCTATCTACAATGTATACACGATATTGCTGATGAACTTGAATCTACTGTACATCTATTTGCTGATGGTACATCGCTCTGTGAGTCTATGGTTTGGAGTCAGTAAAGAGATGGAAGGAAACGTGGCTTATAACCTTCAACCCGCAAAAACTCAAGCGATATTAATGGAAATTTTGATCTCATTTTTGCTAGAATCGTTTCAATTCTAACAGTAGTCAAAGACATACGGGAGTCACTTTGAACCCAGATGCAAAGCGTCCAGTTGACGTCAATAAAATGAATAAAGCAGTAATGAAAAAACAATATATTTTAAGGAAAATGAACAAATATACAATACAATTCAATATACATGTAAAAAAAACAATTGTTTCCAGGCATCGAAATGTTAATCATTGAAATGAATTAGGAATATGAGAAGGGTATATCAACAAACTTATGTTACTTTGTGAACAATTACAACCAAATTTAATATACAACAAAGTTGTGAGCTAGCCTCCTGTTGTGTGACGTTATATATTTACATTGAAACAGTGGCTAATGAACTTTAACCCATATTTAAATACGATACAATACTTCAATTAAGTTTTCTATCATTAATTATTTAGAATGACAAACCTGACTTTCGCGTGTGGCCTATCACGGTGTGATGTGTAGATGGATATATTAAATTAAAAAAACATAAAATGATACACACGCTTTTTAGGAAATAATTTAATCAACGTCAACATTGCTATGACAATTCCATTAAGTTAGTAATGGTAACCGCAATGACGGGAATATCCCCGCGTGACAGTATCACAATGCCAGCGTGGACAGAGCAATTCACCGGGACAGAGCAATTCACAGAGGACATGATAAGTCATATTTCATTCGGCTGGAATTGACAAGTGATAGAACGATATAGAAATCACACACGGAAACACTTGGTATCACAGTGTCGTCCAATCAAGCTTTGGCGACAGTTCTTACATGTACCAATCTGGGGTAAAACAAAACAACCCTTTTGGGTGAGATAGGTGAGTCTCAACCCAAGGGGAAATATTCTTAAGTTGCCAAACACGAGGCTTTGATAACACAATCTCAACCTGAGGGGCCAGATTCTTAAACGTCAGTCCACAGTAGCTAGACATTGCAAACTAGTACCCATTTGTGGGAAGATAATACGAAATATTACCAATATGATTGAAATGTTTTGTCTTATTCTCAAATTTGATTGATCTGACAAGAGGTCAGCCTATGGTTCGTGATTGTGGCTGTGACGTATTACACAAATGTAGACAAACAGATACTACAGCCGACACTATTGAACCATCGATGTGTGTATTACTGATTAAATTGTCCGTGTATTTATTACGTACTCAAACAGCAACTAAAACAACGACGAAGACGACATAGTAACACAGGTTAAGAGTAACTGTCACATCCGGTCCATCGGCTTATCGTCCCTATCGAGTATTTTGACCTGGCACAATGGTGGGAGATCTAGTACAATATACCGACCTGTTCCACGTGACAACAGAGTAACCGTCTGGCTCTGAGAGTTACTCACACCAGGCTTTTTCATCAATTGTTTTTATATTTTTTTGTTTTTGATCAGTTTCCAAATTTGTCACGGTAAATTAGGAACTGGCCGAAGGAAGAACTGGTCATGAAATAGAAAAGGGACCCACTGTCATAAGTCAACAATTTGACGGGGAATTAATTGGTATTCAATCGCAACATTTTGGATTCCTAAATCAATTTCCGTTCCACCTCAAATACAGGAAACATCATTTGTTTAAAACGTTCTAGTATGGAACGAAAAAAAACTTTGCTTATTTGTTTCGTACGCATGCGTACAAAACGACTCATTTTTATTTTTTATTTTTTAAATGCATATTGTAATTTTCTTATGATCAGAAAATATGCGTTTATCATATATATGCATGTGTTTATAATTAACACACTCACTGTGAAGCCTTTCTTCAGAGACTGCCATGTTATGTGTTGTTTCATCGATTTAGTAAACAATTCCCGAGACGCGAGATTAAACGCTGTACATGTTAAATCAGTGATCTTATAGACATCTGAAGCATGCAATACTGTGTAATTCGATTCCACACATATTTTACCATACCTAGTTGATTCTGATGAGAAGAGGTAGATACATTCACAATGAAGATTGCAAACTATAATTACAAATTACATTTTGTTCATTCTGTGAAGCGCTTAGCTTCAATAGTTACTATGGTAGAAGACGAACGCTTGGACGACTAGAACAGGACCGAACATGAGCAAAGATGTGTATTAGTGTTGATCCTAGCATAGGAAGTTTTCAAAAATTTAACACGCAAATCCGAATAACATGGACATTTCAACATAAAATGAAACTGATTTTCAACATTATTTAAATTACATACAGTACACACTCAATAGTTTGATATCTTCCATTTTTTTAATTTAAATTATGAGCAAATATTCTCTAATTAATGGTTTTCTTAGTAACACTGTAAATCAGACTGGTTATAAAGATATGAATAGATATATCCCTTTGTAGATGTTCTTACTCTTTCTTTGCATACTCGTCTCTACATATCAATAAGTCTTTCTCTAAAAACATAACACATATCATCCTTTATTTCTGATCCCATATGTAACCTAGGCCAAGTCTATATAAAAAAGGTCACGGCAGGTGACACACTACCTTTTTAAGTCTGGTCCAATCATATTCTTGTTATAAAGCGTACTGACATTAAGCGTACTGACATTAAGCGTACTGACACACGGATTTCAGCTCCCATGTATGTAAACTATATCAGAACGATTTGACTGTGTAATCGACAACAGAAAAATAGTATTGATTAATGTATATGCTAATTGTATTAATTGTATATCTATGTACTGTAAAGCGCTTTAGAGTGGCTGATGTTAGGTAGATAGGGCGCTATATCAAATGTTGTAATTTCCTGTTTTCAAGGATCTCGTCTATTTCTTAATCGACGTCAAT